TGAGGATGATACTGAGAGGGGTCACGTGTGTAAAAACATTTGAAGGCTGCTTGAGGATGATACTGAGAGGGGTCACGTGTGTAAAAACATTTGAAGGCTGCTTGGGGATGATACTGAGAGGGGTCACGTGTGTAAAAGCATCGAAGGCTGCTTGTGTGTGATGTTTGGTGGTGACATTCTTGAACTACTGATGGTAATGATAATGATGACGATACTAAAACTAATAATGATAGTGATAATGATGATGAGAGTGATGGTGATAATGATAATGATATTGAGGATAATGATGATAGTATCAATAGTAATAGTGATAATAATTATACGATAATGATGATAACAATGATAATAATTGTAATAGTAATAGCAGTAGTAGTAGTAATAACAATGATAATAATGATAATGATAATGATCCTTCCTCCTCAAAGGCATTGGCAAAGAGGCTGCCAAGGACTTCCTGCGGCGAAGGGCGAGGGTCATTCTGGCCTGCAGGAACCTGGAGAAGGCGCAGAAGGTGGCGGGTGAGTCGTATATTCATATTTATATAGATGAATATATGATGTATAGTTAGATACATAGGTAGATAGATAGACGCATATTCTCTACTTCTTCTTAATCTCCATTTGCTTCTTTCTCCCTCTTTTATGCCTCTCATCCTCCCACTCCTCTCATCCTCCGTGCCCCCCCACCCCCTCCCCCCGCAGAGGAGCTGGTGGCGGAGACCGGCAACCCGGAGGTGGCCGTGAGGCGTCTCGACACGGCGGACCTGGCCTCCGTCAGGGCCTTCGCCGAGGAGTTCCTGAGGACCGAGGATGCTCTGCACGTCCTGGTAAGTCACTTCCGCCAAGGAGGCTTCGGTGGCGTTGGTTAGTTTGTTGGTTAGTCGGCAGGATAACTCTAAAGGATTATGAACAGATATGTGTGATTTATTCCGTCAGAGTCGTGTCTCTTAACCCAGCTTGGATGCTATTATTCGGGTGATGATCCGGAGTCTGGATTCCTTTTTTGATGGGTTCAGTAGCATGTGTGGATGATTCTTTTGTCTCAGTGACCCTGTTGCCCTGGCGGAGGTATGCGCTCTTTAAGTGCCTCTAGCTTCTTTGTTTTTCTTTTTCTTTTCACTCTCATTTCCTTTCTTTTTGGTTATTTAAGGATTCTAGAGGGTGTTGAGGAACTAGATGAGGATGATTCTTAAGAGGTTTTCTTTTTCTTTTTCTCATTTCCTTTCTTTTTGGTTATTTAAGGATTCTAGAGGATGTTGAGGAACCAGATGAGGATGATTCTTAAGAGGTTCCCCTCGTTTAAGGGGAATGACTTTTGGACATAAGGGGCGAGACAAAAGGAACTGAAGGTTTCTCAAAGAGTATTATCCTCGTCTGAGTTGCAATGACCGTTTGTGAACCCGACCTAACCTAAACTTCCTAACTGACCTAACTTACCTAACCTAAGCTTCCTAACTAATCTAAAAATAATCTAAACCTAACCTAACTAACTAACCTAACCTAAACTCCTAACCTAACTTAACGTAAAATAATCTAACTTAACCTAATCTAAACTAACCCGACCTAACCTAAACTTGACCTAACCTGACCTGACCTAACCTAACCTAAACTTAACCTAATCTAATTAATCTAACCTAACCTAATCTAAACTAACCTACTAACCTGACCTAACCTAACCTGACCTAACCTAACCTAAACTTCCTAACCTAATCTAAAATTAATCTAACCTAACTTAATCTAAATTAACCTAACCTAACCTAACTGAACCTAACCTAACTAAAACTTTGAACCTAACCTAACTAAACTTCCTAACCTAATCTAAAATTAATCTAACAAATTAATATAAACTAACCTGACCTAACCTAACCTAAACTTGACCTAACCTAACCTGACCTAACCTAAACTTCCTAACCTAATACTAACCTAAACCTAACCTGACCTAACCTAACCTAAACTTCCTAACCTAATCTAAAATTTTCTAACCTAAACCTAATCTAAACTAACGTGACCTGACCTGACCTAAGCTTAACGAGTGATAAGCGCGAATTACCTGGCGGCTTCTGCAGGTGAACAACGCCGGGATCGCGGGCGCCAGGACACGCCAGGAGACGAAGGACGGCCTCGAGCTGACGATGGCCACCAACCACTTCGGGCACTTCCTCCTGACGAACCTCCTGCTCAGTAAGGGTCGCCGTTGCTTCCTTCCTGGCGGGATTGAGGGAGTCCTTTCCTGGAGAAGGATTTTTTTATTTTTTTATTATTATTATTATTATTATTATTATTATTATTTTTTGCGTTTGTTTTCTGCTTGTGTATCGTTTTTTTTTTTTTTTTTTTTTTTTTTTGCGTTTTGTTTTCTGCTTGTGTATCAGCGAATTTCATTTCTCAGAGCATATAAATTGTTTTTTTTTTTTTCAAGTTATGAACCAAAGGCATAAAAAAATTATGAATAGTTAATAAGATAAGGATAGAAGCCTAGTTCGGTTATTTAATAACATTAGTATAGTTTATCTTCCCTACATAGACAATAAAATACACCGATACCTGTATTACCGTTAGCATTGTTTTTTTTTCTATTTTTCTTTTTTTTAAAATATCACCCACTTCGCCCAAATACACGTAAATATAAACTCAGAACCCCTTGTCCCAAGCCTTTCTGGTAGGTCCCTCAAACCCACTTCACCCCCCCCCCCACACACAGTTTCCCCCACCTCCACTTTGTCTCCCCTCCTCCCCCGCCCACACTTTCCCCCTCCTCCCGGTGAGTTCCCGCCCCCCACCCTCCACTTTGCCCCCAACCTTCCTGATCATCACCCCCCCCTCCCCTTCACCCCCGCCCTCCCCGCCTCCCTTCACCCCCCGCCCTCGCCTTCCCACCCCCGCCCTCCACCACCCTCCCCACCCATCCCACCTTCTCCCTCCCCAGAGCGCCTTCAGGAGAGCGCCCCCAGCCGCGTGGTCACCGTCTCCTCCGCCGCCCACATGGTAGTGAGGAAGCTGGACCCGAGGGACCTCAACCTCAGCGCCTCCTACGGGTCCATGCAGGCCTACGGACTCAGCAAACTCTGCAACATCCTTTTCGCGGCGGAGTTGGCCGAGAGGCTGCGGGGCACGGGTGAGGGGCGTGTGGATAGAGCTGTTATCTTTGTCTGTCTGTATACCCGGATGGCTGTCTGTCTGCCAATCTTTCCGTCTGTTTATGTCTATTTTTAATCTGATGTCTCTATATATGTATATCGATTTATGGTGTATGTACTGCATGTGTTAACGGATTTAAGATATAAGCAGATTGCTGTTCATATCATTAAGGTAATTATTCTCATCATCCTTTGTACTGTTACTGCCTTAAACCGCGGTTCAACTGGCCTTGTCTTTATCTTTATCTATATTTGTAACAGGAACAACGAAGGGAAGGGCAAGAAAACACACGAATATTCGTGTGTTTTCTTGCCCTTCCCTTCGTTGTTCCTCTTGCAATCTGTTCAACATGAATTCCACACATGTGTTCTTCAACATCTATATTTGTTTTCAACTGCGCAAAAGCACCGCCGTAATAGACCGCGCTCGCCTCTCGCTTCCATAACACCGCGCATAGAACTTCTCGTTTGAGCAACATGGAACTCAAGGACTTATTCGTTTCACAGTAACTTCGTGTTTCATAACGTATATATATATATATAATATATATTATATATATATATATATATATATATATATAATATATATATATATATATATTATTTTTTTTTTTTTTTTTTTTTTTTTTTTTTTTTTTTTTTTTTTTTTTTTTTTTTTTGAGAAAGAAGCATGGAAACCGATTTACCGATTCAAAATTACTAACGCTTGTCTGACGGGCTGTCGACGCGAGTGTAGATCTTCAGTTTCGAATCATCCATTTCTTGTTTATTTGATTTTGGTTATAAAAAAACGAATTTTGTGAAAATGAAATCTAAATATATATAAAATCTCTAACATACCTTGTTGACTCTATAGATACTTGAAGATTTTAATCATTTCTCTCTCTCTCTTCTCTCTCTCTCTCTCTCTCTCTCTCTCTCTCTCTCTCTCTCTCTCTCTCTCTCTCCTCTGTCTGTCTGTCTGTCCCTCCCTCCCTCCCTCTCCTCTCTCTCTCTCTCTGTTCTCCTCCCTCCTCCCTCTCTCCCTCCTCTCCCTCCCCGCCCTTCCCTCTCTCCCTCTCCCTCCCCTCCCTCTCTCTCTCTCTCTCTCTCTCTCTCCTCTCCCTCTCTCTCTCTCTCTCTCTTCTCTCTCTCTCTCTCTCTCTCTCTCTCTCTTCTCTATCTCTCTCTCCTCTCTCTCTCTTCCTCTCCTTATCGACTTACCAACTTACTTAAGTAATTTAATCACTAAGAAACACATAAATTAACCCGCAATTATGTGTTCCTATCGCTTTATCATCATGATCTGTTCTTTTTCATATTACTCAAGCAAAATTTCAGCTAATAGTGTCTAGGGGCCCCCTGGAGAGGCCGGAGACACCCAAGGAAAGAGAAGGTTCGAGGGCAGTGTGTCCATGGCGCCCCTCAGACCCTGATTTCGCAGTTTCATTTCAGATTTCAGATTTCAGACCTGCGCGTGGACAAGACCAGTTGGACCGCGCCGCTTTGCTTACATCAATCAAATCATCTTCATCATAATCATACCTCATCACCACTACCATCATCATCTTCAATCATCATCATCATCGTCATCACCACTCTCCACCATCATCATAATCATCATCATTATATTCATCATTATAATCATCTTCATCACCACCACCATCATCATCTCAATCATCATCCTCATCACCACCACCACATCAACATAATCAGATTCATCATCATCAGTCATCATCATCATCATCATTCATCAAATCATCATCCAAATCACCATCACCACCACTACACCACCAATACAACACCTCACCCCCCTGCCCCTCTCCTAACCCCTGCACCCCCCCCCCCACTTCGTGTTGCAGGCGTGACCAGCAACAGCCTCCAC